AGTCAGCGTCATGTCCCACACCCCTGTATGAATGGCTTCCTCCACTCCAGCCCCTAGAAGCCCCGTTGGCATACTGCAACATCAGCTCCTTGCTCAGGGTCCCACCACGGCCTGATCAGAGCTGGCAGCATCAGCATCATACCCTACAGACATCAGACTTACCAGTGCTGCGTCCCATTTCCTCAGTGCCCTGTACTGTGAAAGGGCTAATCTGAAAAATTAACATACATGAGGGTGGTAATAGACTGAGTGTATCACAGTGGAAAGAAAGCTGTAGTCAGAGGACCTAGATTCAAACCCTGGTTCTACTTTCTAGCTATTCTAACGACTTCCTAACCATTAACTTAAGATCTTGGATACATCGCTTAACTTGTCTTTGGGTCTCAGTTTCCTCATCTGTAAAATGGTGGATTAGATCATTTAAATCCTTCCAGCTCTAAATCCTATGATCCAGATGGATGACAAAGAAGGTGTCCCTCCCAGATAATTGATGTGCATTTCTGAAGACAATGCCTTAAGCCAAAAGAATGACTCCAATGGAAAGAACGCAAAGCACCAGAGAGAGAGCTGGGCACAGAAAAGCTTTCCCTGACCTTAGAACTATCCCATTACTTTGGGTCTTTGCTTTGCTGTCACCATAGAAGATAATCCCTGTAGGCATTTGAGAAGATTAGAGAGGGACTCATCTCTCATGAAAATGGTGATCATGAGAATACTTACATTTATATAGTGTTTTAGAACAGGCTTTGTTCACAACTACCGTAAGAGACAGAAGAAGTATTTTTATCATCCAAAATCTTCTGTGGCTCCCTATTTCTTCTGGAATAAAATACAAACTCCTCAGTCTGGCCTTTAAGGCCTGCTACAACTAGATGCCAACTTCCCTTTCCAGACCTACTTCATCGCAATCTTCTTTCCTCAATCTATGTTACAACCATCCCCTGAAGTCAATGTTCCCTCTCCTGCCTTTGAGCATTTGCCCAATGCCCAGAATGTATTCCCTTCATACCTCACCCCTCTGCCTCTCAGAATCCTTATCTTCTTTTCAGACACAGCTGCTATGTCACCTTCTCTGGGAAGCCCTCACCAAATACTCTCCCAGATCCAGCCAGCGATTAGGACTCTATCCCTCCTCAGGTATTCCTGAAGCTCCCTGACTACTCTTTCCTTTGCCCCTTTATTCCTTCCTTCGTATTATACTTAACAATGTAGGCATCGTGTCCCCTCCAGTTCCCAAGAAGAAGGTAAGCAAGAAACTTCAGTGTTTGAATCATGTCTTGTCTTTGTATCACTAACACCTAGTAGAGTACCTTGCACCCGATAGGTCCTTAATAGATGTGTTAGATTGAATTAAATTTTACAGCTAAGGAAACTGAGGCTCAGAGAAAGCCCATAGCATCATAGGATAGTAGATTTAGAGCTGAAAGGGCCAATAGAGATTATTCAATAGAGATCATTTTACAGTTGAGGAAAATGAGGTGCAGAGTTCGGTTAAATGACTTGCCCAAGGTCATACAGGTAACAATTATCTGATGAAGGATTCAAACCCAAGTCTTCTAAACTCCAACACCATCGCTCTGTCCACTATATAATGCTGCCCCTGAAGTTAATGACTTGTCCAAAGTCCCACAGCTTGTAAATGACAGACAAGGGCCTCAAACCAGGTCTTCAGATTTCTCACTGAGCAATCTTTCCCCGGCACCAAAGTATTTTCTCTGTCATTCCATGAATGCACATCTCCTCCATAAGCATCTGTTCAGGACACACTATATTCATTCAGAGCTGCCTGGTTTTGGTTGGGGATGTGTTCTTTAGGATGGTATATGTATAAGTACACATACATGCAGGAAAGTATGTACCATCCTCACTAGACTATAAGTACCCCGAAGGCAAGGGACCATGTCTTATATTGTTTTGTGTAGCCACCATAATGCCCAGCTTGGTATCCACAGAGGGTGCACAGGCAGAGATGCCAAAAGAATCAGGAGACCAGGACTCTAGACCCACTAGACACTCCAGCTCTAGTGGTTACCTATGTGACCTCAGTTGAGTCATTCACCTCTCTGGGCTTCTTCATGTGTTAAAGAGGGGTGGACTTAGAGATTACAGAACTTGCCCCTTCTGACTCTGAGCTCCTTTATGAAATCAAGGTGGATGGCCTTTAATGGAAGCCTATTAAGATGACACCCAGGAGGTGGCTTTATGACAGATAAATGTCCTTAAGCTCTATTCCAGGCAGAGGGGGACTTCAAGTACCTGTTGATTGATTTGTGTCCCACAATCCACTTCCACTATGCAGTAGATAGAGCAGTGGGTCTCCTGTCAAGAAGACAAATTAAACCTGGCCTCAGACTCTTACTAGCTGTGTGATCTTGGGCAAATCACTTAACCTCTGTTTCCTCATCTATAAAATGGGGACAATAATGGCACTTACCTCACAGAGTCGTTGTGAAGATCAAATGAGATATTTGTAAAGCACTTAGCTGAGAAACTTCTCAGGGCATTTGCTGTTCCCTCTGTGTCTTCCCATAATGCCCATGACCAGGGATAGTATTAATGGCAGTGACTAAGTTCAAGAAATGGGTTTGTAGGATACCAGTCCCATTACTGACTCTCTTGGAGAAATGGGTAGGGGGAAGATGGTTAAATGGATTGAATTGTTTCTGAGGTCCTTCATAAGTCTAAATCTCTATGATCTAGTAACACTCTGGTTGGGTACAGTAGTTACACTTGGAGCCTGGAAGATTTGAGTTCTAGCCCTGCTTCAGAATACTTACAAGCTATATGATACTGGGTAAGTCACTTAACTTGTCTCAGACTCAGTTTCCCCATCTGTATAACAATAGCACTTACTTCAAACAATAATAATAACAATAAAATAATAATAACAGTACTTACCTCAAAGGGTTATTGTGAAAATCAAATGAGTGTATACACAAAATGCCTTGCAAATTTAAAAAACACTACATAAATATTATTATTATTATCATTATTATCTATGCACCAAAGCAAGGTAGTGTACATGGAGATTATAGCAATTCTTGGCCTCCTGTAAGGTTATCTGAGTTGTTGTGCATTAAAGTAAGATACTGGTCTGAGACAAGAACTGTGGTCTGGGTCCAGAGCCAGGACTAAAGCTAGAAACTTTTAAAATGTGGCCAAGAGTTTCTTCAGAGGCCTCTTGAGCTTTGTTAAAAGCAGCTTTAAATGGCCTTGGAGTGGAGCATGCTACCATGTGGCAGTAAGCATGGGATTTGGAGTCAAAGGACCTGGAGTCATATCTCTACTCTAATAAGACCTTTATAACTTTGAGTAAGCCAGTCCCCTTCCTGGGCCTCAGTTTCCTCATCTTCAAAATGATAGAGTCTGACTAGATAATCTCTAAGGTGCCTTCCATATCTAAATCCCATAATACAAAATTGCAGAGATAGAAGGATTAAGTATACAGAAAGGAGTTAAGTGTCTTGTGGGTTTAGGGATGCTCCCCTGTCTTCAAAGATAGAACAGAAATAGTTTGTGTCCAAAAGTGGTGCATTGGACAAAACCCTAAACTTGGAATTACATAAATTCAGTTTAAGTCTCAGGTCTATCATCATCTGCTAACTGTCTGACCATAGGCAACTCATTTAACTATACTCTCTCAGCTTCATTTTCTTCACCTATAAAATGAGGATAATCATACCTGCCATACCTAACTACCAGCATTGTTGTGAGGATCAAATGAGACCGCGTTTGTGAAAGTCCCTTGTAAACTTTGAAAGTGTTACACAATTATAAGGTGTTGTTATTAAGAGGCAGTGTGGTGCAATGGGAAGTGTGCTAGATTTGGAGACAGAGGTCCTGGCTTCAAATCCTGCTCTGCCACTTAATACCTGTGTGACCTTGGTCAAGGTCCTCTCTAGGCCTTAGTTTCTTTTATCTGTAAAATGAGGGGGTTTGGACCAGATGTTGTCAGAGGACCCTTCCAGCTTTAAATCTTTGCTCCTGGGAGTTAATGATCCTATTCTTCTGCTTATTCCATGGTAGGAAGAGACAAGAGAAATGGAGGTCTCCCTGGACCTTGAGACTGGGTAATGATGGGGGAGGTGGGGAAAGAAAAGGGAGGGGGACATTGTTAGTCCAGCCTTCAAGTGAAGCCGGTTCCCAGGCTCCTCACCTACATACATCTTTGAGAGTCACATGCAAGGATAAATAAGAAACTTGGGGAAATTTTAAGACAAGGAGTCCCTCTGCTAACTGGAGAGACCTGGGATCCCACAGAGAGGGCCCCACATTGCAAAACAAACAAACATACAAAAGCCCACCCCCTGTTCCCATCTAGTTTCACCCTACCCAGGAGGTCTGTCTGCCTCAAGGTTAGAGCCAAAAAGAATAGGACCACCTGACTTAAAGCTAGAAGGAAACTTAAAGATATGTGGTCCAATCTCGTCCTAGAGAAGGGAAAACTGAGGTCCATACAGAGAAGTAAAATCATTTGCTAAAGGTCACCCAGATAGTAAGTAGAAGAGCGGGGATTAGAACTCCAATTTTGGGTCAGCTGACTCCAAATCCAAGAATTTTTCCATTCTCCTCCACCCTTCTCCTCCCTCCTACCCACCCTCTCTTTACCCCACCCTCATCCCCAGGCCAGAAAAAAGAAAAATCCTGGCATGTAGACTAGCAGCCCTGTTCTCTTTTCTAATGTAGAAATTTTCTTCAGGACCTTGGTCAAGCGCCTTACCTGTTGTGACCACCTAAGAAATAGATCTTTTCCTCCTCTCTGATTCTTTTGAGATCTTTGGGAACAAAGAACTCACTATTTCTGGTGCCCAAGCTTGTGGTAGGGCACAGTTCCAGCCGGCTGTGACTGGCTAACTCCGCTATGCCACATAAACTCAGGGAGGAAAGGCCTAGCCTGGGAAAAGGGACTGGCCTACTCCTCCAGGGGTCTTAAAGGGTATGGGAAGAGCAGAGGAGAGCACAGGTGAGGCTTGGTGGGGGGAGGGGTAATGACTGATTACCTCCTTCTCTGCTTTGGCCTCCTCAACGGTCACAGTGCTGTGATTCTTGTGCTCCTGGAACATGCAAAGGTAGCAGATGCAGGTCTGGTCTGTCTGACAGAAGAGCTCCATGGTCTTTCCATGCAGGGGGCACTTCCGGGCCTCAAAATCCTTGATGGGGTCAAGTAGCTGATGGTCCCGAAAAGCGGCTCCCTCCAGGTGGGGCTTGAGGTGCAGTTCACAGAAGGAGGCCTGACATACCAGGCAAGACTTGACTGCCTTCTGCTTGTTGCCTATGCAGGAGTCACACAGGATCTCCTCTGAACTGGACTTAGGCCGAAGGAGGATGCCCGAGTCTCCCCCTCGGGGGTAGCTGTTCCTTCTCCCCTCGCCAGGTTCCATGATGGACACTACAGGCTTCCTGGACTCAGAGAAAATGGACTTACGCAGCTCCCCCTTTTCTGCAAAGGTTACAGGTGGCTTCTTCGAGCCCCCCAACTGGAGGCCAGCATAAGGAGACCTCTTGTCCACAGAGTCAATGCTGAAGTAATTGGAGTTCTTGTCATCTACAGACTCCACAAATTGGATGATGGGTTTCCTCCAGTCATTACCTGAAAACAAGGCACTCCTTCCCTCCCCATGCTTCAAGGGACTCCCTGGGTTTTTGTTCTCAGCACCTTCCCCAACATGCCCGTTGGTGCCCTTGGCATCCTTGGCCTCGACCTTACCACCATTCTCCACGTTACCATTGGTGCTCAGGGGGCTTCGGGCATCCCTGGCCTCGGGGCTGGCCCCGTTGCTTCTTGTGACTTCTGAGGCTTCCATTCTCTCTGTCGCTGTCAGTGGGACCAACTGGAGCTGTGGGACAGGGTGACTGCTCCGGCCCGAGTCTGGGTAAGAAGTGGAGAACGGGAGCCGAGGAACCTGGAGACACACCTGCTGGGGCCAGGAGGGAGGAGGGGCGGCCGCAGCCTCAGCAACAGGAGCAGACCTGAAAGGAGGGAGGAGCAGACAAGTCAGCGATGCCAGCTGAGCACCTAATTACATGGCAAGGGCCACGCCCTGAACATTCAGACCTAACCTGGTTTATGAAAAGAAGAAATATTTTTTCCAGCTTAATTATTTTCCATAACTCAATAACCAGTCAAGCTACTTCCATCAAATGGGCCTGTTTCTCATCTGGAAAGAAAAATTTCTGACCTAAAAAAGTAGGTGGGGCTCCCAGAATGGCCCACAGAGTAAGGGGGCGTTAATTGGGTCACAAAAGCCAAGCAGCCTTGTAATTTGTAGGCCTGGGCTTCTGAGAAGGACCCCCCCACCCTCAGACAGTGGGGTGGCTTCTTACATTAAGGAACATTCGTGGTTTTCTTTTGGATTTGGGCCTGTGGACTGTGAGGAGAATACGGAGCTAAATTAACAATACCATTGAACAGCCCCTCAAATCACAGATTACATCATAGATTTAGAGTTGTAAGAGACTTAGAGACCACCTAGCTTAACTCCCTCATTTTACAGATAAGGAAACTGAGATTAGGAAATAAAGTGATTTGCCCAGCATGACACAATTAAGTGTCAAAGGCAGGATTTGAACCCACATCTTCCTGACTCTGAGTTTGGCACTCTATTTGCGTACTACCCCACGCTGCTTCAGTAGACCCAAAAAGACCCATAAAATAATAACTCCCAGGGTTTAAAGATTTTCTCACAATAATTTAGCAAGGGAAGCAGTGGTACTATTAATATTCCCGTTCTGCAAATAAGGAAACCAAAATCCAGAGAGATTAATTGATTTGCCCAAGGTCACACAGCTAGCATCACATACTTAAAATGGGTGTTTCTATACAGATTAAATCCACTCCAGCTGGCACCCCAGAGATGGAGAAAGCTACTTAAGACCTTGCCTAAGAAACTCTCCAAGCCGAGGAGTAGGCACCAAGAGAGTGAGACCCCTCTGAGGTCTGGACTCCTGCTTCTGTTTCTGAGATGAAGTCTCTCCACAATGCAATATAGTTCCCTGAAGGAGGTCGAAGCAGTTGTTTGAGTGCGACTATCACCTAAATAAAAGCCCCTGGGGGTGGGTGGGAAGGAAGGGATAAAAAAGACTTAGAGAAAGATCCACAGCCCTCCCACTGCACACATACTTTTCTCAGTCTCCTCTGTGCTTGCTGGGGCATGTAATCTAGTAAACCCTGGGAGGCCTCCAGTTTCCCCAGTCTTTGCAAACCAATGACCTGCATACGAGGCTTTCCCTCTCCCTGGGTGGGGAGGTGATGCGTTGAATGCTCGTGAGGGGGGATGTTCCCATTGGCACTGCTTTCACCAGGTTCTATGTCGGCTCTGGTCTTGGTTCCCTGAGCTGAACACCTAATCCTTTGCCTTGCAGAGAGAGAGAGGGAGGGAGCAGGGCAGATGGGAACAGTAAGCTCACAGGACTCCAAAGAGAACAATGGAAGGAGCCCAAAGTCTTAAAAGGAGAATTTCTGAAAAAGGGGAGGATGAATTCCTAGCTACAGATCAGGAAGACCTAGACTTGGTCTGGGAATCATCTCTTTCTGTAGTCTCATCTCCCCTGAGGGTCTAGAGCCTCAAGACAAGACAAGACAAGGGTCAGTGGAGTCTCGGCCTGCTGTTCCACCATTCTCACATCTGGAGGGGCCTCTGAGCACAGCCTTCAGCAGACAGGGACACACGTTTTTAGAATACTTCATGTCCTGCCCCTCTCAGTTAGAGAGATACCAGCATCCTCAATGGAAGCGTAACAAGGCTGAGTGACCTACCCACAAATCAAACAGCTGGTTAGTGGCAGACCTAGGACTAGATTCTATGTCTCCTGACTCTTGCTCCTCTGGTAAAGCCTTTGCTATCCACACCAAACCATGGCAAATCCCCCACTGCCCAGCTCTTGTATCACTTGCAGTCTGTATCTCTTATTAAGCAGCTAGTATATCAATACCCAGTACTGCTATATGTGTGACCCTGGGCAAGTCATTTAACCCTGTTTGCCTCAGTTCCTCATTTGTGAGATAAGATGGAGAAGGAAATGGAAAACCATTTCAGTATCTTTGCCAAGAAAACCCCAAATGGGCTCATGAAGAGTCATACACAACTAAAATGACTGACAAACAACAACTTCTAGTTATGTTTTCTTGCATGCATATATCCTGTCCCCTTAAATCAACAGCAGGCTCCTCACATCCCTAAGCCTACCTCTTTGTTACCTTCTTAGAGCCTAGCACAACGTACAGTGGAGAGGCTATATGGTTCGGTGTCCTGGGCCTTAGAGTGAGCAAGACCTGGATTCAGATCAGCCACTGTGTGACCATAAATGAGTCACTTAACATCTCTGAGTCTTGCTGTCTTTTCATCTGTAAAATAGGGATAATAATATCTGTTGTGCTTACCTCACAGAGTAATTGTGGGGATAAATGAGATTATGTATGAATGTTTTGCTAACCTTAAACTGCTATATAAATGTCAGCTCTAGACCTCAGTCTTCTCCTCTGCAAAATAAGGAGGTTGGACTACCTTTTATGTGTCATAGATACTTTTGGCAGCCAGTCTAGGGAAACCTATGGAGCCCTTCTCAGGATTATGTTATTAAATGCAGAAAATAAAATATATCAAATTACAAAGGAAATAAATTATACTGAAATACTTATTAAAATATATACTTTTTAAAAAAAGAAACAAGTACATGGATCATAGGTTAAAAACCCCTAAACCAAGTGATCTCCAAGGTTTTTTCCAACTCTAGATCTCATGATTTCAGTAGACATTTAATTAATGTTTGTTGAGCTAAATTAAATCAATTGATGGATTTTCCCCCTTCTGTGCTGGTCTTCATTTCTTCTCTTCTGATCATTGCTGAGACGAAGTGCTAAGTTAGGGGTAGGCTCCCTAGGGGCTCCCCAATATCCCAGGGATTATAGGACATGGTATAACATGGTATAACTTCTATTGGGAATCTGCCAGAAGCACTAAGGTCTCCACCTTCCCAGCCACCCACCTCCACATGACTCACACAAGTCTGTTCACATCTAGCAGAAATGGAGGATTGTAATTTTTTGTGTGCTAAAATCTAGGGTGGAGAAGGGGAGGAAGGGGGAGGAGGAAGAAGGCATTCAATAAGAAGACAATTCTCAGGCTAAAGTCCTTCAAAATCCTCTTAGCCAAGCACTGGCCCTTGTTTTGGTGCCCACTTGATCTACTCCTACCCCATATGGAGGTAGGGTTGACCTCCCTATCCTGTCCCTGAAAGGCATCTGTGCAGGGGGAGTATTACTTAGAGCTGTCCAGCATCACCAGGCCTGCTTTTTAGGTGGAAGAGTCTTGAGGAGGTCAAGAAGTCCCAGGTTCAAGAGCCTGTGCCTCTGAGAAGCATCAGGGCAAGATGGACTTGTGAATCTGCAATCAACCAACTTGGGCTCTAATCCCAGTTCTGCCTCTTATGTCCTGGGTTACCTTTTGATAAGAAACTTAATTTCTTTGAGCCTCAATTCTTCTTGCCTAGGGGCATGTAGGTGTCAACATGTATAGAGTACTGGGCCCAGAGTCAGAAAGACCTGAGTTCAAATCTGGCCTCAGACACTGACCAGCTGTGTGACTAGGCACATCACTTAACTTCTGTCTGCCTCAGTTTCCTCAACTTTAAAATGAGGATAATAATAGCACCTACCTCCCAAGGTTGTTTGTGAGGATCAAATGAAATAATATTTGTAAAGTACTTAGCATAGTACCCACACATCATGCTCCCTTCCCCTTCATCTCTAAAATGATGGGGTTTACCTAAATGGCCTCTAAGATTTCCTTTGGGTCTACATCTATTATCTTATTTACAGGATGAGTACTTTTTAACAGAATCACAGAATCTCAAACTGGGAAGAGACCCTAGAGGCCCTTAAACCCAACCCATGCCTGAAAAACAATGCCTTGTGCAACCTGACCAACAAGAGGTCATCTAACTTTTGCTTGAACACCTCCAATGTGTGTGAATCCATCACCTCCCAAGGGAGTCCATCTTCTTTTAGACAGCTTTGATTGTCAGAAGCTTCTTACATCAAATCTAAATTTGAATCTTTGTCACTTCTATCCACAGCTCCTACTTTTGCCCCCTTGAGCCAAAAAGAATAATTCTAGTACCTTTTCCACAAGACAGCCTTTTGAATACTTGACGACAACTATCATGTCCCCCTAAGGCTTTTCTTTTCCTGGCTAAACAACCCCAATTCCTTCAAGGAATCCTGAAATAGAATGAACCTGAGGTTCTTCATAAAAAAGAATCTCTTCCATCCCTAACATTCTTCAAAGAAAGGAACACCATAACCTCCCTCATGGTCAAGGAAATTATGCCTTGGATCTCACTTGAAGCTACAACATAGTATGATGGAAAAAATAACTAATGGAATCAGAGCACCTGGATTCACATCCTACTCTGATAATTATTATGTCCTTGGACAAATGCTTTAGCCAAAGTTAAACTGGACTTCAGTTTCTTCAAGTTGAAAAAGGGGTAGGAGGGGTATGGTATTGGACCGGAGCAGTGGGGAGCTTGCAGATTCATGACCACATGTGGCCCTTTAGATCCTCAAGTGCACCCCTTTAACTAAATCCAAACTTCACAGAACAAATCTCTTAATAAAAGGATTTGTTCTGCAAAACTTGGACTCAGTCAAAAGGCAGCACCCAAGGACCTAGAAGGTCACATGTAGCCTCAAGGCTGCAGGTTCCCCACCCCTGGACTAGAGGTTCTCTGAAGTTCCTTCCATCTCTAAATCTATGAAACTTGAAACAAAGCTTATATCCTCCTGCCTACTGTATATGGGGAAATGAGACTGGCTTCCAACTTCCAACACATTTCTTGTTCCCTTCTTGGGATAATGAGTAAATATGATTGTGGCCATGGCAGGGCATAGTGTATACAAGCTTTTCATTCAGTGTCAATCTCACACAAGCTGTCCAGCCCCCGAGATCTTCTTTCCACCCACTTCTCCC